GGGAGGTGGAGTTTGCAGTGAGCCGAGATTGCACCATTGCATTCTAGCCTGGGAAACAAGACCAAAATTTTGTCTCAAAAAACAAACAAACAAAAAACAAACAAACAAACAAAAAGAGACAAAAACAAAGAAATTAGGAATTGAGAAAAAGAGCTACAATAGGAAAAGGATAAGATGAACACATCTTAGAGAGACATAGGAACCAGCATGAATAGACTTACACTAGCAAATCTGGGACAATCTCACCATCACAACAAATGTTTTTATAATGTATTGTAAATAATTTAATAAAATAAAAAAGTAATGAATCTATTGTGATAAAAGTTAATAAATGAATGCATTGAAAGATTAAGGAGGAACGGGACATTGACATAGAGATGTGGGACATTTCATATTGCTTTCACAGAAAATAAAATGAACTATAAAACAAAACAAGAAGCTTTATAGCGGAGAAACATGCTCTTCATCATGATGGAAGTGAATAATCATTAATAATGGAACAAGTTCAAAAAGAATTCCACCTGGTAGGATGCAATTCAGTATATAGGCTCGCTTTTGTGATATTGCTCTTAAAGTTGTATAAACTAAATCTAATCATGGGGAAACATCGGAAAAACCCAGATTGAGGACATTCTATGAAATAACTAGCCTACGATCTTCAAAAGTGTCAAGGTCATGAAAGTCAGAGAAACACCAAGGAACTGTTCCAGATTGAAGGACTAAAGAGGCAAGCAACTAGGTATAAAATGGGACCTTGAACTAGATCCTTTTGGTATAATGGACATCATTAAAATGTTTGGTAAAACTTGAATGGGGTATCAGGATCCCGTGGTTGTTACAGCCTGAATTGTGTGTCCCACCCCGTCCTCAATATACCTCTGAAGAGTAGGTATTATCTCTTCTTATAACTGAATAAAGAGGCTTAGAGAGAAAGTATTTTGTCTAAAGATACTTAAATAGTAAAACACTAAGAAAGGATTAAATTCAAGGCCAAAAGAAGGGAGAAGGACTTTGTTCAAAAGAAGGTCTCATATAATTTTTATATATTATATAATATATATTTTTATATATAATATATGATATCATATATATGATATATAATATATCATACATTATATCATATAACATATAATATATCATACATTATATCATATATTGTATATTATTATATATTTATATATAATATATATTTATATAGAATATATATAATTATATATATATATAATTATGTATTTTATATATATATATTTTTTGCAGATGGTGTCTTGCTCTGTTGCCCAGGCTGGGGTGCTATGGCATGATCTTGGCTCACTGCAATCTCTGCCTCCTGGATTCAAGTGATTCTCCTGCCTCAGCCTCCTGAGTAGCTGGGATTACAGGTGCATGCCACCATGCCTGGCTAATTTTTGTATTTTTAGTAGGGGGGGATATTACCATGGCCAGGCTGATCTCGAACTGCTGACCTCAGGTGATCTGCCCGCCTCAGTCTCCCAAAGTGCTGGGATTACAGGTGTGAGCCACTGCGCCCAGCCTGATGGAATTATACTTTCTATCAAATTAATTCTTGGAAGTGTCTGTCTGGTTAACAAAACCAGGGTGCACTATAACTGCTGTCATTTCAGTTAGATGAAGCTGGAATAGATACTATTCTGAGAGATTTTCAATGAACACCCATCAAAATAAGGCCAAGATAAAACCCCAAATTATTAGTTAGAAAAGACTCGATTTTATACTCCTAAAATAGAAGGGAACTTAGGTCTGGAGTTGGACGGGGATAGAGGAAGGTGGCTCAGGAAGTAAAGGGAAGAGTGGAGAGATCCGATAGTTCATGGGTTTGTTAACTCCTCCCATTTGCTAATCTCCCCCGCCGACCTACTCCACGTTAGCACTCACACTCTTACACAAATAACTTCTATCTTCAAAAACAGAAGAAGAAATTGATTGAGCAGACTTCCAATCTTTCATTTCATGAGCAGGGTGGTCTCCAGAGAAAAGAGTATCAGTTTTACTTTCAGTAGAATTGGTCCTTAATCCAGTCTCTGCTTAGCTGTATGCTTTTTTTATGTCATTTAAAAATTTTTTCTGAATAAAGTCTTAAAAGAGCAGACTTTAAATGGAACATGGAACATTATCGAGTTGTAAAATACATGGAGTGACATCTTTAAACCTTATTTAATTGGGGAGATGGGAGCTTCAATGTGTCCCTCTTACCTTGTCCACAATTAAACTATAGGACCTCTCCTGAGCTAAGCATTAACCTGGCCTGAAGGATGTGAAACCTTTAGATTCTGGGAATACACCAATGACAAAACCTACAGAGAACTTCCCTCCTCTGTGTTGGAGGAAAGTCTGGAGGCAGTTGTAGAGAGTCATGGGGTAATGTTCTGCTGGTTTGCAGAGATTTGTGAATTCCCAATGGATGGTGATATAGCTTCTCAATTGAGTGTTCCTGAAATGACAGTGGTCTTTCTGGTCCCCCATAGGTGGCAGGAGGGCTTGGCAGATACATTGAGCTTCTTTTGGCCCTGATTCTAAGATAACAGGAAGCTTTGGCAGCTGAAAAAACTAAAGAAAAAGAGATTTCCTTTAGGTGCCAATCCAGGGGAGTTCTGTTTTGGCATCTGGCAAAACTTTAATCCATTCAGCCAGAGTTTACTGTTCCTTCCTTCATTTTTAAGATTTTTGTCACCCAAGGTAACTCAGCAGCTGGAATTTAACCCTCAGTGAATAGACAAAAAGAAAACGGACAATCCACCTAATGGTTCCAGCACTCAAAGTGAAGAGAATCAAGAAAACACACAAAGTAAGTGGCTCCTAACAAAACACAGCTACTAGAGAAGTCCCCCTACACCCCTGTTCAGCAGAGTGTTCTTGTCTTGTGCAAGAAACAGATTACAGACTATGGAAAAAAGGGTTGGGGAAGCTTGAAGATTGTAGCTTTCACCAAAGGGTCTGAAATTGCAGTTAGTAATCATGAGTCAATCTTTCAGATTTAGATAAGAAAAAAAAAAAAAACAAAAACTTCCTGAAATTGATCATGTTAAGTACAGCTTGAGATTTCTATTATCATAAATAGAGTATTAGTTAACATCCTAAATGTTCTTTTGTGTGTGTGTGTGAACACATAAAGTATAATGTTATGTAAGTTTTGCAGACAGATTTTGAACTTGAACAAAAGTAGCACCCCTCTCCAATAAACAAAATTATAAAAGTAAGGAAATTCAAGCATGGCATATATACATGCATGCGCGCGTGCACACACACACACACACACACACACAGATTTGCTGGACCTACAAAAACGGACCATGATTTGCAAACAATGAAACAAACAAAAATAAATTGATGAAATGGATGAATAGAACCAATGAAATAAAGATCGGGAAGATCTTGGATAAGAGTCCAAGCAGACTTTCCATATGAATAACAAGAGCGCCAGAAAAAGAAAAAATTAACAGTTGAAGAGGACAAAGTTACTAAATAGTAGAACAAAACGTATCTCAACAGAAGACTCAAGTATTATAATTGAAATGTTTCACCAAATTCCAGGCAAGATAGATAAAAAAGATATTATTCTACTGTGAAAAGAAGACCACTAACACAGAATTGGAAAAATAAGGCTTTTTTACTGACAAGAACTGCCCTGTAGAAAGGCAGGAGAGAATGTTTACAAGCCAGAGAGTGAAGATGATCATGAGCCAGTTCCTTAGCACATAAAAATGACAGACTTACTTACATGTTACTGAGTATACCCAAGGCCCTCCAAGATTTGCTTTATGACCAGCAGAGCGGGGAGGAGGTCTCATTACCCTGGTAATGAAATGATTCTTTGTAAGGATCAGAAGGGAGAGAACAGTGGACTTTATAAGTGAGCACACTCCAAAACACCTATTTGAAAGAAGTTCTGATGTGTGTTTAAAAGAAGTCAACAATGTCAAGTAAGATACATGAATAAAATATACATGATGTATTTTTTTCAAGGAATAAAATATTAAATAATCCACTCTTAGTTATAATTTTTAAGTTCATTCAGAAGCTGGCGTTCTGTTAATTATGGGAGGACTGATTGCCTTGTTGGTACCTAGATATATCTTGGGAAAATTTCAGGACTCCAAGGCTAAAAGAAAAATCTTAAAAGCTTCCAGTTAGAAAAAATAAGTTACTTGATTTTTCTTAAAGATGATCTTTTGACTATGTCAGTTATCTTTTCTAAAACTTAACTTTTTACAACATTCTATGAGTCATTAACTTGAGTTTTTAAAAATAGCAAATACATGATAAATAATATATTTAAATTGAGTGTGCACTAAATATGAAGTGTGTGTGTGTGTGTGTGTGTGTGGTGTGCGCACATGTGCTTGTTACTGACATGAATTCCAACTACCAAAGAAAGGAGAGTCAAAGACTAATGTTTTATTTTATAACAATATTTAATTATTGGACATTTTATACAAAATAGACTTTGATCAGATAGCATTTGAGCTCATTGCAAATAGTAAACATGCAAAAGGAATTCAGAATAATATTCAGGCAAGGATACAACATTACTAACTAGACCATTTTTAAAATAAAAAGCACTACCTAAAATCATCATATTACTACTTTACACACATGCATTTCTTTAATTTGTTTTTTACATAGATTTCTCACATCTATTCTTGCTTCACGGGTTTCAGTTTTATAATTTTGGGAATTGAAGACATAGTGTCTACATTAAGAAACTGACATGTTTACTCTGTATTTACTCACTGCCAAAAGCATTTTGGGAATCCTGGAGAAGATCTATTCGATTATCTGTTTTATGAGTCACATCCCCTCAATTAGTCATTGAAGAGCAAGAAACAGCATCAGACATAAGGACCTCTTTACACTGGCCATTTGAGACTTAAGATCTATTCACTCTGGTCCATACTCTCTTTGGTTACTGCCTTTTTTTTTTTTTTTTTTTTTTTTTTTTGATTTGATTCTTGATAATGGGAAAGGAAGCTGGAGAGCAGGAATGGTGTTTAGACTTCAGGTTCCAGCTGGCTGTGGTCACCATGTCCATGGAAGTGATGGTCAGGTTCTCTCAATATAGGTACCTTTAAAAAAACAAGTTTGGGGGCACTTAATAGTTTATTTCACTGTGCTTGTCAGAAGTTAGTATTGAAATAAAAATATTTTTGGTAATTATTATTCAAGCTTGGAAAGAACTGGGAATAAAAATTGTTTGAGTTGAAGAAAAATAAAAGAATAAAATATTTATCTCACCCACCCTGACTACATTCCTGCTTTTGCAAACTAATTCTCCCTGAAATTTTGCTGAGAACACCCAAACATCTATCCTTCTCAAGCTTTGCAGGAAATAATTTGGGGGAAAGTATCAATAGAGTAAAGAGAAACTGGAGGATAGAAAGAGGCTGATATTTTGTTATTCATTTTGATGTGTACTCACTTTTGATGTGTACTCACTCAAATTCTTCAACCTTATGTATTTCACTTGCTTTTGACTACTTTTACCTATGGCATAGTTTATAATTATGTTAAATTTCTTTTTTTTTAACCAAATAAACCTGTGGACCATATATGGTATAAAATCTCACACTATTTCTGATAATTCATATTATTTTTATGAATAGCTTTTTTATGGCTCTCAGAGGAGTGAAACAACATTTGCTAACTAAATTCTTTCTTTTCTTTATCTAACCTCTGCTTTAGAAAATACCATAACTTCTGATTTTATCTGGCTGGGCACATCATCTCAATTTCTCTCTCTATATAGGTAGTTCATTCAGTTCCTTTTTATTTATTGATTTTTCTTTTACACTTGACATCCCATGGAAAGAAAATTTTAAAATTTATTATTTATTATTTTTGTAGAGAGTTGCCCAGGCTGGTCCTGAACTCCTGGCATCAAACAATCCTCCAGCTTCGGCCACCCAAAGCGCTGAGATTACACGTGTGAGCTACCATGCCAGGCTAATTCAATTTCATCACACATATGCCACACAGATATCTAGGCTTGAAGTGAGTAAAGCTTTCACTAATGAAGCCATCATTCACATTCTTGTTTAGAATACTGTACAGTACCTCCCAATAAACAGAATCATCATAGCAGTCCTGGTCAGATGGCTGTCCCCAAAAAGGCAACTTTAGAATTAAACCTGTGATGGTAGAGGGAAAATGAGTCATGTCGTGATGCTGAAGAGGAAAATCTATTTGCATAGTAGTTAATATCCTATTATAAAATCATCCCCTTTAGCTGGCATAATTACTTTACTGCCAGAAGATTAGAACATTTTTGAATTTAGCAATTGTCTTGCTCACTAATTATCTATTGTAAATAATCTGAGAGCATAAGATACAGGGAAGTGTTCACTTTTTATGCTGACCTGTAATCAGACCTCCAACAACTGCTGTTCCGATAGAGGAACACAGTGCAGCTGCCTGCATGGCCACAGACCTAAGGAAGCAAACAAAAAAGAATCAGTGTCTTTCCTGGACCTCAACCAAAGAAAGTCTCACCCACTGAAGGTGTGGAGACTGCCATCTTCAGGCCAGAGTGTAACATTACACACCAGCAAATTAAGCATTTGTTACAATTTTTCTTTCATATTCTTCTTTTCTTTGAAACTCTTGAGCAGTGTTAGAAAATTCTGAGATACACCTAAAAGAAGAGAATCATCTTTTAATGTAAACTTTGGAAATAAGACTTTCCTTAGAAAGGGTTTAGCACTCTCAAAAAATTGATCCCTGATCTGATTTATTTAATAAATATTGAGTATCCACTCTCTGTCAGTTTCTTTCCTAGGCATTGAGGATAGAGTAATAAATAAAACCACATGAGCTACTATCTATCCTCACTCCATTTTAATGAAATAGTTATGACAAAATTAGAAAAATCTATCAATAAGTTCAGAAAAGCTAATTTCCACATATATTGTAGAGATACCTCATTGAAGATATTTAAGTATATCTCTATATGTCATATTAGAAGTCATTGCTTTAAACTGAAATTAGTAAAGGATTGTTTATAATTTTGATAATGAAAGAATGTGATAAAAGGCCATTGAAGTGCATAAAGGTGTTGTATGAATGACAAATGACCTGGGAATGTGGGAATCTTCTTAGCAAAGTGGCTTACTCATAGCAGGCAGTTAATAAAGAGCTGTTTAAAGATTGAATGAGTGACTCCAATGAATAGAACAATAGGAAAATGAGAGTTTTGTTAGTCTTCCAGTCTCATCATCCAAGGGAGAGGATGCACTAAACTCAGATTCCTTTTTTTTTCTCCTTATTTGAAAGGTTTAAATATTTTAATATATATAAAAAACTGCACAAGTAACATATAATTGTGAAAACATTAGAAACTGCAGAGAACAAAAAGAAGCAGAAAAGTTTAATATTCCTCAGATTGTATCAGAATAAAAATGTAAAATAAAAACACGTATTTTTATAAAAATGCAATCATGCTATATTACTTATTTTCCCATTAAATATGTTTTAGGGGTCTGTTTATGTGAGTCAATGTAGATCTGGACCACAGTTTGAATTGCTACAGGGTATTACACTGTGCAAAGTACTGGTTGCTTCCAGTGTTTCATATTTTTAAAAATGCTGTGAGAACATCTCTTCTGAACAAGCTTATGAACTTGTCTGATTATTTTCCTAATATAAAACCTATCTAGAAATGAGAATATTAGTAAAAGGCTACATATACCTCTTTTTTTGAGACGGAGTCTCGCTGTGTTGCCAGACTGGAGTGAAGTGAGGTGATCTCAGCTCACTGCAATCTCCTCCCTTCACATTCAAGCAATTCTCCTGACTCAGCCTCCCAAGTAGCTGGGATTATAGGCACCCTCCACCATGCCTGGGTACTTTTTGTAGTTTTAGTAGAGACGTGGTTGCTCCATATTGGCCAGACTGGTCTCAAACTCCTGACCTCAGATGATCCACCTGCCTCGGCCTCCCAGAGTGCTAGGATTACAGGTTTGAGCCACTGCGCCCGGCCTGTATACTTCTTAAGAACTTTTCCAAATAGAAAATTGTACAATTTCGATTCCAATTTTTTACTTTAGCCACTATTCAGTATTATTATTATTCATTCATGCTTTATCACTTTGATAAGAGAAAAACCTGGTAGCTTGTTTTAATTTGCATTTCTTTGATTATGAATGAAGTTGAGTATTTTATATATACTTATTTATTTGATTTTCTTCTTTTGTAAATTTCCTGTTATTTTTACAGGAATTTGCCAAGATCTTTTACAAGGTCTTAAAAGATATTTTTGATAACAAGTGTTCTGTGATCAAATAAACTTGGAAAACAATGACTTATACAAAATTAACAGCATTACTAAAGTTATGCTGTCATAATTTGCAAAAATGTCCCTTAAGAATATTAACTTTCCCTTGTTCTATGCTTATCAAAAACCTGATTTGCATTTTAATATTCTGAAGAGATACATGTAAGTAGTCCTGGCTCTCAGGTGGTATTTTATTTGGTGTGAGATATGTAAATTTTACCCAAGTGAATGGACCTTCAAGGCTTGCCCCCCTTCCCCTCTGATATTCCTCTACCTCCTGGCCCCACCAACGAATAAACTGAGAAGATGTTTCTAAATCTGCATTTCCAAGGACTAGACCCACAACTCTGAGACTTACCCAATGTCTGACCACCCAGCGAGGCCTGCCCTTTGAGAGCCAAATAGACTAGTTTTATTGCATCTGTGAAACTGGTCTAGGCATGATGCTCAAGAATTCTTAACCATAGGCACCTCCTAGTGTGTTTGCAGTGTATGCACACTGCAACACTGAGCAGTTGAGCTCATTCACACATGCTTTTATCATGCTTAATTTGCATTAAAATATTTTCGTGTTTGATTTCTGCAGTCTCAGGAACTGAAAAAGATGTGCATATTCTGGAGTTGTCTTCTAAATTTGCAAAAAGGGTTAAAAAACATATAGAAGAAATGTGTCAACTGTACACATGAAGAAGGAAGCAAACTACGTAGTAGGAGATATGATTAAATGAGTTTTTCAAGTATGTACTATTATTGATCTCAATGGGGTTAAATTTTAATCTGCTAAAATTGAAGATAAGATTTTTCTTTTTAAATTAGTGGTCATTCAGACATTTCTAGACATACATTTCCCTCTTCTTCATGCTTTCAATGGGATTTAAAAATTGAGTGTTCTACTATGCAGCCATAAAAAAAATGAGTTCATGTCCTTTGCAGGGACACGGATGAGGCTGGAAACCATCATTCTCAGCAAACTAACACAGGAACAGAAAACCAAACACCACATGTTCTCACTTATAAGTGGGAGTTGAACAATGAGAACACATGGACATAGGGAGGGGAACATCACACAACCGGACCTGTTGGAAGGTGGGGTACAAGGGGAGGGAGAGCATTAGGACAAATACTTAATGCACACAGGGCTTAAAACCTAGATGACTGGTTGATGGGTGCAGCAAACCACTATGGCACATGTATACCTATGTAATAAACCTGCAAGTTCTGCACATGTATCCCAGACCTTGAAGTATGCACAATTTTAAAAAATTGAGCATTCTGATTCCTCTTTATTTACTCTGAGGGATCTGGACTCTACGATCTTCCTAGCTTTTTCACATGGATGACATTCATACCAAGTCGTTCCAATATTGTGGCATCCCTTCCATTCTCCGGCGTTTGCTTGATAGTTGTTCTTCCTCTGGTCATTTAAGTAAACATGTATACCCAACTCAGGGAAGAATCTACGTCTGATAGAGCTAGAAGGGATTTTGGAGAATAAATATTCCAATATTCTTATTTTACAGAGGAGAAGACTGAAAACCAGAAATGCTGAGTGATACCTCAGAGGTGACGTAACTAGTTAGTAGCAGAGTTGGGGCCATATACCAGTGTTGTTGATTCTGTAGAACTAACTGCTTTCTGTATTATTCCAACTCATTCTTCCTTGTATGGATGGGATGGAACTGACTGTTCAGTTCATCATATGTGCCTCCTCCTCCATTTTGGAGGGATCAAGAAAAAGACTAAGCCTTCTATAATCTAACTGTGATTATCAAATTTCCCCATCTGCTAGGAGACAGTTGTTTCTGGTAAAGACATTTAAAATACAATTATTAATTTTTTAAATTAACAATTTCAGTTAAGATGCCTCTTCCAATGTAATTTTATTCTAATGATCTTCTCTCTCAGGTGCATCTCTTTGGCTCCAGTAAAGACAATACAGACCATGGTCAGAACTGCTAAAATGAAAACTCTTCCATCACTAATTTCTCAAAGTGAGAGAAAACATCATGGGACCACAGGGGATGGAAAACCCATTCTTTTACTCACGTGTTGGAGGCGCCCAATGCTACTGCCGCAATGCCTGCAAGGCCTCCCACTACACCAGGTAAGCCGTGGAGGTTATGGACCCCACATGTATCATGGATCCCCAGTTTAGTAGTAAAAAGTGGCTAAAATTGTAAAAGGAGGAAAGTTTATTATTTTGTTAAATGTATAGAACTGAAACAGAGCTATAGCTGAGCTCTATTCTTCCATTCAGAATTATTTTATAAGTATTTTTATGTATATTTAAGGTATACAACATGATGTTATGAGGTACACATAGAGAGTAAGAAAAGGTCACTATAGTGAAGAATATTAACGTCTCCATCACCTTATATAGTTTCTTTTTTTTTTTGTGGTAAAAGCAGCTAAAAATCTCCTCATTTAGAATAAATCTTGTATACAGATATATAATACAACTTTACTACTATAATCCTCATGCTGTGCATTGAGAAGTGTTCATTCTGTATTTCTGCTACTTTGCATTCTCTGACCTACATCTCCCCATTTTCTTCTCCACCCAGAAGAAACTTTGTGTATAGTACAGATCTCCATCCACATCTGAAGTCCACTTAAGTTAAAGGATTTGAGTAGATATTTGTGGCAAAACTGCCCATTTCAGTCTTTAGTGGATGGGTTTGAAGGGAGTCATTTCACATCCTACTCCTTCTCACCTACTGATGACATCCTAAATCTCTCTCTCTTTCTTTTTTCTTTGAGATGGAGTCTCACTCTGTCACCCAGGATGGAGGCCAATGGTGCCATCTCAGCTCATGGCAACCTCTGCCTCCCGAGTTCAAGCGATTCTCCTGCCTCAGCCTCCCCAGTAGCTGGGATTACAGGCGCCTGCCACCATGCCTGGCTAATTTTTGTAGGTTTTTTTTTCTTTTAGTAGAGACAAGGGTTTCACCATGTTGGCCAGGCTGATCTTGAACTCCTGACCTCAGGTGACCCGCCTGCCTCAGCCTCCCAAAGTGCTGGGATTACAGGTGTGAGCCACCATGCTTGGCCGACATCCTAAATCTCTTAAAAGAGCAGACTCCTTAATTGCATAAGACAAATAACAACAACAACTTCAATGGAACAACCCCAAAGGAAAGTAATGTCCATGTACTTAACATTTAATTCAAACTAAATTGTAAATAATTGATATCAGATTCTTTCCTGTTACACAGAAGTTAGGGCAGTGTAGAACCACTGAACCACTGAAATGGGAGTAGTATTTCCTAAAAGAAGGCAAGTGGCCTCCAAAATAAAAAATGTTTATAAAATAAAACTTTATAGCTTTTTTCTGCTGGTGGGACATGTGAGAAAAATGGTGCATATTCAGAGTTTGACTGAGAATATCTGCTGTACTTACAGTCAGGAACTTGTATCCAATCACAGAGACCGCTCCTGCAATGCTCCCAAGGGTCATAGAACCGAATGGGTGAATTGCCATATCCGCACAAGTGCCCACGGCAACTCCTCCAGCAAGGGTGGCATTCTGAATGTGAACCTGCGTGAGCAGCAGAAACATAAATGAGGCAAGCTGGATGACGGAGAATTCAGAAGGATCAGAGGATTCTAGAGTACAAGAGACCCATATCACATTCTTCAGCTGAAAGGGCTATTGGTTCTTTTTTAAAAAGAGGGTTGTTTGGATTTATAGAAGGCCTTTTTTTCAAGAAGGTGACATTTGGTATCTTTCTTGCCAGTCCCTTGGTAGTGAATGAGTCATCAGTTTAACTCATTAAGGCCAGTGGTGGAAGGCATTTGAGAAAATCAAAAGATGTTGTAGTGGGAGGGTAGGAGTGTTTAGAGTAAATATTCTCGCAATGTTTTGTCTATTTGTGCAGTTTTGGGAACACATTTGTGGTTATCATGAGCCAAAAGATGACTATGGCCACCGTGTGTTTTGTAGTCTATGATATTCCAATATTCAAAGAGGAAATGTAGAGACGTTGAAATGTACACATTACATATGAAAGACAATAGTTTTTGCAAATGTCACTGGATTGAGGACGTTTGAGGATGAAGGAAAGAGGAATTGATTTTTTTTTTTTTTTTGAGATGGAGTCTTGCTCTGTCTCCTAGGCTGGAGAGAAGTGGCCTGATTTTGGCTTACTGTGACCTCCACCTCCTGGGTTCAAGTGATTCTGCTGCCTCAGCCTCCCTAGTAGCTGGAATTACAGGTGCACGCCACCATGTCCAGCTAATTTTTGTATTTTTAGTAGAGATGGGGTTTCGCCATATTGGCCAGGCTATTCTGGAATTCCTGACCTGAGGTGATCCACCTGCCTTGGCCTCCCAAAGCACTGGGATTACAGGCATGAGCCACCGTGCCCGGCCAGGAATCAATTTTTGTTTAGCAGAATTTCTCAGAAAAATTACAGTCTGGCTGTTCTGTCTGAGAAGCAGAGGTCATCGTACTTTTAAAAGATAAACACTGAACTGTGCAATTTTTTATTTTCTTGTTTTTAATGACCTCTCATGAGACAATTTGTGGAGAATTAAGATACATGTCCTCAGCTATGCTTAAAAAATAAATTACAATAGCCTTTTCCTCCCCACTCCACCCCACCTGCCCCACCCAGCTAGAAAGGTAGACTGGCTGATCTGACGGGTTGCTCCTTTACTGGTATTTCTCTAGCTCATAGGCAAGAAACTCAAGAGACTAATCTGGGGAAATTTTTAAAATATTTTATTTTGAACTAATCGCAGACACATAAAAGTTGTAAAAATACTACAGAATGTTTCCATATATCCCTCGTCCATTTTCTCAAATAAGATGTTAATCTTACATAACCATGGAAAGGAAATTAGCATTGATAAAATACTAATAAAGACCTTATTTGAATTTCACCATTATTCCCACTGAAATTTTTTCCAGTATCTTATTGAAGATCCCACATTGCATTTGGTTGTTATTTCTTTGAGAAGAATGTTTGCAGTTGGGAAAATAGAATCAGTGTGCATCATCCCACCCTCTTTTTCTGCTGTTTGATAAATCTTGTTTCTAAGAAATCTTTTCTCAGAACTTGGGAGCAGTTAACTCTATTATTAAAGAAATATACCTCAAATCAAAGATTTTTACAAGACTACCTTCATTCTCTACTAGACCGTAAATTCCTTGAGAACATTTTTTAATTTTCCAGGGTAATTTTTATTATTATTATTGTTTTGTGTGTGTGTGTGAGACGGAGTTTTACTCTTGTTGCCTAGTCTGGAGTGCAATGGCACACTGCAACCTCCGCCTCCCAGGTTCAAGCGATTCTCCTGCCTCAGCCTCCTAAGTGGCTGGGATTACAGGTGCCCGCCACCACGTCGGGTTAACTTTTTTTTTTTTTTTTTGTATTTTTATTAGAGACAGGGTTTCACCATGTTGGCCAGTCTGGTCTCGAACTCCTGACCTCAGGTAATCCTCCTGCTTAGGCCTTCCAAAGTGCTGGGATTACAGGCATGAGCCACCGCACCCAGCCTAGGGTACAGATTTGATGAATAAGTGAATTAATGAATAAATGTTGCTATTTTTAAACATTCTACAAGGTGTGCTTCTGAGTTGTCTTGGGAGTTCAGCAGTGATGTGGAAATTACCTACTACTTATCTGAGCAACTGTCAGTGTCGTGAAGTGAAATTTCCATGAGGGCTAAGGCGGCACTTACCATGTTGAGCTTGCCTCGGCGCTCCACTAGGCTGGAGAAGGCAAAGGCTGTGACCACACAGGCAACGAGAGAGAAGTATGTGTTTACAATGGCCCTGGACTGTTTGTCTCCAGGTTCAGCAATGACCGAGTTAAAGCTGGGCCAAAACATCCATAGAAAGAGAGTCCCTGTAGTGAACCCAAAGAGGGGATATTAGTTCTGAATATGGAAGACAGTCCAAAAGATGCAGCTTGCTTTATTTACTTATTTATTTTTGAGACAGAGTGTCCCTCTGTCACCCAGGCTGGAGTGCAGTGGCTTGATCTCTGCTCACTGCAACTTCCACCTCCTGGGTTCAAGCAATTCTCCTGCCTCAGCCTCCTGAGTATCTGGGATTACAGGTGCGGGCTACCATGCCCACCTAATTTTTTTTTTTTTGTATTTTTAGTAGAGATGGGGTTTCAGCATGTTGGTCAGGCTGGTCTCGAACTCCTGACCTTGTGATCCACCCGCCTTGGCCTCCCAAAGTGCTGGGATTACAGGTGTGAGCCACTGCACCCAGCCTGGAGGATGTAGTTTCCTTTGGCCACTGACAATGTCTCTCTTTAGGCTTGATTATCTACTGTTAGGAGAAAAGAGGAGAATTGAGCCAGCATAAAGTAGTATGCAAAAGATGCTCCTTTTTTCAAAGTTTAATTAAATTTACTATTATTATTTTTTAGAGATGGAGTCTCACTGTGTTACCCAGGCTAGACTCAAACTCCTGGGCTCAAGCAATCCCACCTCAGTCTCCTGAGTAGCTGAGGCTACTGTCGTTCACTACCATGCTTGGCTTGGATGTTTTTTTTGAGCATCTCACACCTGTGTTGAAGTTAACCTTCCCTGGCCCCTTTTCAAATAGATAAGATTCAAGCAAGTTTATCCACACTCACCAATCATTGCAAACAAGTCTGAGTAGTAAGTGGACTCTTCATTTTTATGCCCCCTTCTCAGTGCAGATCGATACAAGATGCCTGCTACAGCCAAGCCAAAGTAGGCCCCAAAGGCATGGATCGTCATTGATGCTCCGATGTCAGAGGCCTGAAGGGACAAAATAACATTCATATAAATAGAGGTGAACCTGAGACTCATTTATGGGAGGAAAGTCAATGAAAGAATTGCATTGTTGGTTAAACAACTTAAAAAAAATTAAAGAGGGACAGAAAGATTGTGTCAGAGAAAGAGGGGTAAAACAGGGAGTAAAATAGAAATAGCACAGAATTTGAGGCCACACACCACTGACTTTCAATCCTAGGTCAGTTACTTCCTTGCAATGTGACTTTAGACAAATTATTAAACATCTCTGATCTAAGGGTTCTGTAAAATGGGGAAATATTACCCACACTCAACAGAGTTTGTGGTGAGACTTAGATAAGACCTCATATTTCTAAAGCACTAGTTCCCTAGTGGGCACACAAGACATGCAAGTTTACTTCTCTAGGTGATGGAGATTTTGAGTGAAATATGTATTGCACAGCCTGGCATGGTGGTGCCTGCCTTGTAGTCCCAGCTACTGGGGAGGCTGAGGCAGGAGAATGACTTGAGCCTAGGAGTTTGAGGTTACAGTGAGCTATGATTGTCACATTGCACTCCAACCTAGGTGACAAAGCAAGAACTTATCTCAAAATAAATAAATAAATAAATAAAAAGATATTGCTTGTGATAAAAAACCAAGATAATATGTTCACTTGAAATTGCAGTTAAAGCTCACTTAATTGTAATTCAAGACTTGAAACTTCAAAAAACCAGAATTTTTACCCATATTTGTTTTTTTATTTGGCTCTATGATGACCTGAAAACCAGTTGAGGTCCCAGATTCATTTGAAGAGATTTAGATTCCTCTTTAGGATATGGTGTGGATTTGACCCAGTTTTCTACATTTCCATCCCCTAGAGGAAATACTCAGAGGGTCAAATTCTAGACATTCATCTGTACTTATAGACAGTAAGATGACACACATCTATTTATGAAAGATTTTCAAATTTAAGTAAAAATGGTCTCCTAGTTGTTGTTCCTTTGTTTGCTAGACAGACAGACCCAGTCCCCTTGAAGATCCACACTTGGTTGGAATGAGTCAAATATCTTCCCAGCATATATGAGCTATCTAGCAATCTTTACCCTCCCAGCAACACTTAGTCCCCTCCCAGCTGGGAAACCTTGCTTTGCTTCACCAGGTGGCTTCAGGAAGATGGGAGGTGGTGATTAATCATGCTTGGACTTTCCAAATACCATGTGAGCCTGTGCCTCTCTTGAAATGCTCACATATTTGTAAGCAAAATAACCTTCTATTTTTCCCTTTGGAATCATTGAATAAGTCTTCATTCAGCTAGCACACAGAGTTGACAGAGTCTTTATTAATCGGACCCACTTACCTTGGTGGTTTCATCTGGTATCGGTCAAGTCCTTTCATCTTACTCTAAAAAAGTTTTCTTTTAGTTCTTCATCACCAATTCAAGACTGTGGTTGTTGTTACTTTGGCTTGAAGAACGTTTCTCTCCACTAGTTACTTGAAAACTTCTAGGTATCTTTTAGGTCCAGTGTAACTGTCACTTCCTCAGGGAACCCCTCCTTGATTCTACAATCTAAACTAATCTTCCAGTTACACTTTCTCAATGTCCCACCATACATATTTTTCATAGCATGTATTGCAATTTATAATAACATTTGTGTGTTTGTGTCTTTGGGTGGGTAGATGAATGTGCAATTCTTTATTTGTTTTCTGTCTCTCCCACTAGAGTGTAAGCTCTATAAAAGCAGGAACTTTCATGTTTTGTTTGTCATTGAGTCCCCAACATCTAGAAAGTTGTCAAAAATATTTGCAGTTGAATTGATGTTAATAGAAATATAAACAAAATCACAAACTACTAGAGAGTGCCCCAAAGTGTTCTTTATTTATTTATTATTCCTGGGAGGAATCAATGAAATATTTGTGGAGAAAAAAGTTTCATTGAGGCCTTAACAAAAACCACTATAAGGCTTTATATAGGGCTATTCACCTAGTAGTAAAAATATAAAAAGGAATTGATCATTGATAGGCAAAAGAAGAGTTGAGGAATTAGAACAATCTGGAGGTGAATTCAGACTCTGGCAAGTCATTCAGTATCTGTGATAATCAGTTTTTATGGTGTATATATGAGATAATAAAAATAATACCTACCATGCAGTGTTGTTGTGAAGATGAAATGAGATAATGTTTACAAAACTCCTACTTAACAGTAGGCACTCAGTAAATGATGGTTATTGTTAGTATTTGCTATGGTATCACTCTCACCAAGATTTGCTCCCATATACCATAGACACCCATTGTTTTTTTGTAGCCAGAACTGATGTCCAAAGCTAGGTAAGTATAAATTTTCTAACTCTTACCTTAAATATTTCACCAACCAGATATTCATTGCCAGCAAATACAGCAATTTCTATAATTGTCATGATCAGCATTTGGGTGGGGCTCGTTTTTCCCAGGACAGCTCCAAAAGATATCAGAACCGTGGCTGTACTGAAGTCTGCATTTATCATGCTGAGGGGAAACAAGAATAAATTGAAGAGTAATGCACACCTAACATAAAACTGACCAAAGTGCAATCCCATCTCCCACCAGGCCCATCCGGTGCTTCCCAGACTTACTCATCATCTCCCACTTCCTTACTCCTCCTCCAACTAAAGAGTTTCTTTAGTTGCTCTAATGTATATATTTTAACTTACCTTTTATCTCATTTAGGGTTTTACTTTATATTCATTGATTTAATCAGTGAATTATTTCTGGAGTATGTGTTTACTATTGCACAACAAGAATACATGTTTACGCTTTAGAAACAATCTGAAAAATAATGAATGGGAAACTTTTGCTCCCTGTAGCTGAGGTGGAAGGAATAACACTTTTATGGAAGAGGGTTTCTCATACCCTCAAAGTCAAACCAGAGATATTACAGACATGAATGTATTATCCAGCTCAGTAGAGCAAGGCATTGATTCAGATTTTTGAATTTCAACAATTTTCTGTTACATAAGGAAGGCAATTTGCCAGCCAGCACAGTAAATGATAGTGGACTACCAGAGAAACGATTGATCTGAAAATGCAATGGCTGAAAAATAAAGAATTGTTTAGTCTGTTTGGACTGCTATAACAAAATACCATAAACTGGGTTGTTTATAAAAAACATAAATTTATTTCTTACGGTTCTGGAGGCTGAGAAGCCCAAGATCAAGATGCTGACAGACTTGGTGTCTGATGAGGGCTCCCTTTCTGATTGGTAGGTGGTGCCTTCCAGCTATGTTCTCACATAGTGGGAGGGGTGAGGAGTCTCCTGTGGACCTCTTTCACAAGGATGCTGACCCCGTTCATAACCACTCTGCCTTCATGACCTGGTCACCTCCCAAATCCCCCACCTCTTAATATCATCATGTTGCAGGTTAAGAGTGTAATATATGAATTCTAGAGGACACAAACATTCAGCCCATAGTAAGGATGCTCACTTTTTGATTCCAATGGTAATTTTCTGTCCCTGGCTATGCAGGATTCCCTGTACAACAGTGCCCCACTGGAGGCCCAAAGCAGCAATGAGTAGGTTGATACCCACACTGCTGAAGCCGTATTTCTTCAGGAAGGTCATGAGGAAGCCAAACCCAACAAATATCATAACATGTACATCTTGGAACACTGGAAAAGAGTAAAGGAAAAAAAATCTGCATTAGGAGAGCATGAAGAAAGTATTGCATCATAGTATATCCCACGTATTAAGTGCTACCACCTTTGTATAACACACTGGGAAAAGAGAGCATTAGCTGGGAAGCAAAAGTTTGGTTCCAACACCAGCTTGACTACTTACCAACCAAGAGACTTTGGCAAGTTATTCAGCGTTGGAGCTTTTTATTGGGAAGACTATGCACTATTACAACAGTGTGCCTTTCATCCTGTTCCTGAGGAATTTTACATTGTTTTCCACGTGAAGATAGCCTTACAAAGCACAGAGCAAGCATCACCCTTTCTTGCACTTTACCAAAACTCCCAGGAAACAGAATATTTTATCTTTTCATTTACACAGCTTTGTGTATATACTTCAGCTTTATCATTTGTCATGCTATATTAGCATTTATTTAGCATTTGTCAAACGATAATAGTCGATAAGGTGTCCATCTCCTGCACTCGATTGTGAATTTGTTGATTGAAGGGGTTTGGACACATTCATACTTGGCTCTCTTTAACTCGGCCTAGTAGCTTGCATATCAGATAGGAAGCAGTATGTTTCTTTGATGGATGAGTCTCCATTCACCAAATGTGTATAATAGCACCAGCCACAAAAATCTTACCAGATCATTATTTGAGTCAAATGGGATAATCTCTGTTAGCACTTTATGAACCATGAAGCATTAATAAACATAAAGGGTGTATCCTCTTCAGTAACAAATATTCAACTTGGTGTCTGGGGATATGGGCTCAGGCACCTGAATTCAATCATATGATTGTGTGACCCTGGGCAAGTCACTTACTCTCTATGGGCTTCAGTGTTTTCATCTGCAACATTGTAAAGGCCCTATTTCACAGAATAATCCAAGTGGGATCACCTGTGTAGGAGGATTTGCATACAATAAAGTATTATACCAATAAGACATACGATCAAATGCAAGATAGTGAAAACATGAACTCTTCAAGAAACTGACAACTAAGTTGGTAAGACATATATATGGATAAGCCATATATGAAATTGACATTTTTGACTGGAAATAGTCCTTTGATCTGAAGGGAGGATCTGGACAGTACATAACAGCATCCACTACAGTGGACAAACCTGAGTGGGGTACCATAGTCTCTCTCTCTCTCCTTTTGTGGTGGGGCGGGGAGTGGGGAGGAGATGGAGTCTTGCTCTGTTGCCCGGGATGGAGTGCAGTGGCATGAACCCGGCTCACTGCAACCTCCGCCTCCCAGGTTCAAGAAATTCTCCTGCCTCAGCGTCCCAAGTAGCTGGAATTACAGCCACCATGTCTGGCTGAGTTTTGTATTTTAGTAGAGACAAGGTTTCACCATGTTGGCCAGGCTGGTCTTGAACTCCTGACCTCAGGTGATCTGCTCTCCTCGGCCTCCCAAAGTGCTGGGATTACAGGCATGACCCACCATGCCTGGCCCCATAGTCTCTTTTTAATTAAACATCACCACTGTGGCCAGAGGTTTAAGTGGAAATAGGTATGAGGAAGGATATGCCTTGAAAATATGTCCCAGAAGAAACCGACATTAAAGGTCAATTAATTTGCCCAAAGGGTGAACTCAGGATTGGTTTTTGTTTTGTTTTGTTTTGTTTTGTTTTGTTTTTTTTTTTTTTTTTGAGACGGAGTCTCGCTCTGTCGCCCAGGCTGGAGTGCAGTGGCCGGATCTCAGCTCACTGCAAGCTCCGCCTCCCGGGTTCACGCCATTCTCCTGCCTCAGCCTCCCGAGTAGCTGGGACTATAAACTCAAGATCTGAACTCCAACCTGACTTTCCTGATTTCTCTGTTCATTGAGCACTGCAGGGGTATAAAATGACCAAAGCAGAGCTCTGGCTTCCGAGGCACACAGAGACGTTACTACTTCTTGGCTCCTCTCTACTTCTGTTCTGCCATCAGGCTCAGGGTAGTGTGTTGAGGGTAAGAGAGTATGGTACACTACTCAGGCTTGTCTACTGCAGTGGATGCTGAGATGCGCTACCCAGATGCTCCCTTCAGATCAAAAGACTTATTCCTCCCATTTTCCCTGACTGTCAGGAGTGCTGCCAGATGAAGCCCTAAGGTCTCAATTCTCTCTGGAAAATGCTGCTGTTTTGCTCAAGGTCATAGCTCTTCTCTAGGGTAGTCTGGACACAATAACCGATTCACATGAGCAACCCCTTGTTTCAGAAAATGACCACCTAAACCTGGACAATCCTAGCTTCAGAGCCTCCTGCAGGGTCAGCTGAGGACTTCTACTTCTCTCCTCAAATCCTTTTCCCTCAGGTGTTGATCCTTAAGGTGTTGATTCCCACCCCATACCTACCCAGGGTACCCTGGAACTGAGATTTTACCTGACTCGCTGACGGGCACTTGTCATGTCAGTTAATATCAACCTGTTTCCCTTTCTGCTTTTTGAAGTATAGATAACCACATCATTCATTTTTCTTTACACATTGATTTGCCACCATTTAATTTTTTTTTTTTTTTTTGAGACAGAGTGTAGCTCTGTCGCCCAGGCTGGAGTGCAGTGGCTGGATCTCAGCTCACTGCAAGCTCTGCCTCCCAGGTTTATGCCATTCTCCTGCCTCAGCCTCCTGAGTAGCTGGGACTATAGGTGCCCGCCACCTCGCCCGGCTAGTTTTTTGTATTTTTTTAGTAGAGACGGGATTTCACCATGTTAGCCAGGATGGTCTCGATCTCCTGACCTCGTGATCCTCCCGTCTCAGCCTCCCAAAGTGCTGGGATTACAGGCTTGAGCCATTTAATTTTTATATGTAAAAATTTGATCTAGATCATAGAATAAGTTGGAGGGGAACTTAGAGTATATGCATGATTCTTACTATGGTTTTACTAAACCTTTATGGTACTCAGTTTTTTTTTTTTAAGGAATACTCGGATTACATGATGTCTAAAGTGTCTTAGCTCTACAATTTATTTTATTTTGCATTTAGGTCAGGACTCTAAGACACACAGAAGTTAGGTGACTTGTTTATAGTCACAAAGTATAATAAAAATAAGGACTCAGTTTTTTTTCATTTTGTTCATTTTTTTTAATTACACAAAGTTTTTCTAACTTTTTTTTTTTTTTTTCCTTAGAGCACTCTGGTTCTCCCTGTAATCTATTGATTTTAAACTGCGCAGTTACCAACTGATTTGGTTTGGCTCCGTGTCTTCACCCAAATCTCATCTTGTAGCTCCCATAATCCCATGTGTTGTGGGATGGACCCGGTGGGAGATGACTGAATAATGGAGGCAGGTCCTTCCCGTGTTGTTCTTGTGATAGTGAGTGGGCTGGAGTGCAGTGGTGCAATCTTGGCTCACTGCAACCTCCACCTCCCAGGCTCAAGTGATTCTCCTGTCTCAGCCTCCCAAATAGCTGGGGTTACAGGCATGGGCCACCATGGATGACTAATTTTGATATTTTTAGTGGGGACAGGGTTTCACCATGTTGGTCAGGCTGGTCTCAAACTCCCGACCTTGTGATCCACCCTCCTTGGCCTCCCAAAGTGCTGGATTACAGGTGTGAGCCACCACGCCCGGCAGTCTGATGGTTTTAAAAACAGGAGTTTCTCTGCACAAGCTCTCTCTTTGCCTGCTGCCACCCATGTAAGACGTGACTTGCTCCTCCTTGCCTTCCACCATGATTGTGAGGCCTCCTCAGACATGTGGAACTGTAAGTCAAATAAACCTCTTTCTTTCATAAATTACCAGTCTTGGGTATGTGTTTATCAGCAGTGTGAAAATGAACTAATACACCAACTAATTTAAGAAATTGTTTTATCTAATTTCATAATTTCCCTTAGTGGAACAATTGTTCTGCAGCATTCACCCCTCTTCCCCTTTGATGGAAAACCAGATATTTTATATTGGGGTAAAGAAATTTCATATATTGACTGTGCTTCAATATTTTTCCCTCTTCTGATGTAATTCTTGTTACTGCTTTTCGCCACAAGGGGGCTTAAGAACCTCATTTATTATTTAAATTAGTAAGCTTAAAAAGTTGTGGAGGCTCTTGACAGATAATGATTCAGTATGAAAGATATGAATAAAAAGGTTTATAAACAACTAGGATTATTGCGTTATCATTTATCCTGCTTTAAGAGTTTGTGGGTGGGAACCAGGGAGAGGGCCACAACTATAGTTGTGTGGTACAAGGCTCTGTCACTGAAGGAATAGTGTCCATTTTATAGAAGAAAAGGAACTCCTTTAGGGGTTTGCACTTTGGAGAAGACTTCCAACAGGTTTTAAGGATTGTCAAGTCTTGTCTAAATAAGTGATTCTCAACAAGAGGTAATATTAGCCCCCAGAGTACATTTGACAATGTCTGGAGACATTTGTGGTTGTTGCAACTCGAGTAGGTAGAGTGGTGCCACTGATGTCCTGAGGGATGCTGCCAAACATCCTGTGGTGAATAGGACAGCTTCCCACAAGGAAGTATTGGGCTCAAAGTGTTAAGGATGCTGCTGTGGAGAAATCCTCATCTAAATCAACTATGCTTTTAAGGATTAATAGTAAGTAGTGTAAAACTTTCATTTTCTTTAAACGTTTTATACCAAAACAGAAAATGCTGGCTTGATTTACTTACAAATTTCTGCCCAGTAGCACAGCAAATTTTGCACTCTGTTTTGGGCCAAGATAGCAGGGTGGAGGGAACCAGGTGCCTACGTTTTCCTTGCTCTCTTCTCCCATTCCTTGCTGCCCCCTGAGATCATAGCAACTCAGTGTTTTTTATTTCAAGCATTTTCCTGAAAGTTGTTAACAGAAAATAAAAGAGGATAGTGAAAACTATAAAAGCGAAGAAATCTCAAGGCATTAGAATCCTACACTGTTCTTAGCATTCCCATCTCCCTGGCTGTGATAAGTTGTGTCTTTCACATTTATTTATTTATTATTTTATTTATTTATTTATTTATTTATTTATTTATTTATTTATTTGTTTACTGAGACAGAGTCTCGCTCTGTCTTGCCTAGGCTAGAGTG